AAAGTGCGTCGGTCTAAAGCTTTAGGTCCGTAGTTTTCCTTCTTAAGGTGCGTGGTTTTCCTTTTTAAGGTGCGTGGTATGTGTGCTTAAGGTGCGTCGGCCTAAAAATTTAGGTGCGTGGTTTTCCTTCTTAAGGTGCATGATTTTTCTTTTTAAGGTGTGTGGTATGTGTGCTTATGGTGCGTCAGTTGTTGAAACTTAAGGGTGCGTCGGCCTAAAACTTTAGGTGCGTGGTTTTCCTTTTTAAGGTGTGTTGTTTTCCTTCTTAAGATGCACCAGTTTTTACAGTTTGCTTCTTTAATTGGCGATTTTTTATTTTTATTTTTTGCAGTCGCAAAACACAATCGCTATCATTTTCCAATCATGTTCCAGCAATCAGTTAATGGCCTGGACATTGCCAAAGTAACACATAAGAGAAAAGAAAACATTCGAGCTCCCAACCAGGGTTAACATTATAGGTAGCACTGCTGTGAGCGCTAGTAGCAGATCCTGGGTTTATATCAGTGCTGTTTTTTTTTTTTTTTTTTTTTTTTTTTTTTTTTTTTTTTTTTTTAGATTTGATCAACGGCTCTGATTTCACTCCATCTTTCACATGAGAGAGTTTTTGCACGTGAACTGATCCTTATATGTATGTATGTATGTATGTAGGGGGGAGGGGAGAGGAGCTCCTATGCAAAGTGTTGCTCCTGTGAAAAATATTAGCCATAGATTAGTCTTGATCGAATTGACCAAAAAAAGCGCACATTTTTTTCTTTTAAATGCTAATAAATGGCTCTTTTGTCTTTTTCCTAATATCCATAAACGTTGAACATTCATGTGCATAATCTTGGATGCACAATTTTAAACCTTCAGGTGCTTAACTTTACACCTTAAGGTGCATACTTTAATTTGGTACCAAAGAAGGCAGTACCTACTACTATGAGCGATTTGCGCCCTATCGCTCTTTAATTTGTAACGTCGCATATAAAATTATGTCTAAGATGTTAACGAATCGCTTGAAAGTTGTCATTAAGGGTATCATTTCGGTTACGCAAAGTGCCTTCATCCTAGGAAGACTCATCATAGACAATGTTCTGATTGCCTTGGAGGTTTTTCATTATCTTAATCGTAAAATGGAAGGTAATACAAGTTGGAGTGCGCTTAAGCTTGACATGGCGAAGGCTTATGATAAGATGGAGTAGGGTTTCTTGAATGAAATTATGGTCCATTTTGATTTTTATAGTCAGTGGATTGAACTTATCATGTGTTGTGTTACTACTGTGCATTATAGAGTTAGTGTGAATGGGGTCCTCACAGATTATATTATTCCAACTCGTGGGTTGCGTCAAGGTGATCCACTATCGCCCTATTTATTCATCTTCTGTGCTGAAGTGTTGTCACATTTGATTACCCGGACTGTGAATTATCGGTATGTCTCTCCTTGTATTGTGACAAGGGTGCTCCGGGAATATCACATCTCTTTTTCACAAATGACAGCATGCCCTTTTTTAAGACATCGATGAATGAAGTAGAATCAATTAAGGCATGTCTTATTGATTATGAAAGGATGTCGGGACAGATAATAAACTTTGGAAAAATAATATATAGAACTTATTGGTGTTTTGATCATTTTTCTTATAGAACTTTCCGGCCTGTGTGTTGTTTATCCACAGTTTTCCCTTTATTATTGTTGAAAAAGAATATCCATTAATTATGTGGGAAGATGATAGTGATCTGACTACGCATGAAAGTTCAAAGGAATTTCGTTCTTTCTTTGAAAGAATCTTTTTTATTTTTTCCTTAAAATTTTATTGGATTATAGTATTTTACTAAACCACAAGCAATACAGCAGGCTTTTTGAGAAAAGCATTGGACCACTGATAGTTTGAGCCCATACACATTTTATATATTGAATGTTTATAATTTACATATTAAATATTCATAATTTAAATTGTGAATATTCAGTATGTAATTATGAATATTTAGTATATAAAATTGTGAACATTTAGTATATAAAATTGTGAACATTCAATATGTAAGTTGTGAACATTCAGTATGTAAATTGTGAACATTCAATATATAAATTATTAACATTCAGTATGTAAATTATGAAATTCAATATGTAAATTGTGAACATTTAACACATAAAATTATAAACATTCATTATGTAAATTGTGAACACTCATAATAATTTGCCCTCCAAGACATTATTATAGGATATAATAACAAGATGTGATAATAGTGTGTCAAAGGCAAATTATACTGACCATGAATAAATGTTTATTTTTAATATATTAAAATATATTATTTGTAAACTAAAAATTTATAATTTGGTAGTATATCTATATATATTTTTATTTTTATACATATTAAAACAGAAGCCCAAATTTTCTGCTCATCCTAGAAAAAGATGCATGTCTGTTTTGAAATTTGAAATCAATCTCTTTTAAGAGACATTAAATAATAATATATGATATGATAATTTAATGGTAACATAATCCATATACAAGGAATTTTTTTATTAAAATAGAATAAAAAGTACAATTTAAAATAGATATGTCAAAATTCTTAAATCATTTATTAAATTTAATATTTAATATTATAGATATGTTTAAATTTATTTTTTATATTATCTATTAAAATAGAATAAAAAATTTCAATTCAAAGTAGATATATAGAATTTATTATAATTAGGTTGAATTGAAAACTTCTATTTAATTTAATATTTTAATATTATAGAAATTTTTACATTTAATTTTTTAATTTTTTTTGGGATTTTGATCCAAAATTAGAAATATATTTTTAATTCTAAATTAAAAATATAGTCATTGAAATAGTTCATTTTTTATCCTTTATGTGCATAAAATAAAACAATCTAAAATAAATAAAATACAATCTCATTTGTATTTGCTATATTATTTTCCTTCATTATATTGCTATTTAAATAGATTTATATCTTTTTTAAAGCGATTAAATAATAACATGGTAATCTATCTATATCTATCTATGCTATATATAAAAATAAAATCCTGAACTTTAACTTCCCGCCCAATTCTTAAAAAATCTTGCTTTCTAATAAATTATATTATTTTTTACTTTCCTATTCGTACTATAATTCTAGGTTAAAATTCCTATTTTAATATTATAAAATAGTGTAATACAATTCCTAATAGAATATATTTTTTCCTACTTTCCTATTCGTACTATAATTCTACATTAAAATTCCTATTCGTAATAAAATAGCACAATATATATATATATATATATATATATATATATATATATATATATATATATATATATATATATATATATATATATATATATATATAATTAAAAGTAAAATTCTCCTTCTAGCATTTTTTCCGCCTAAATTCATTGTATTGGTCAAATTATTTAATTAAGGTAAACTATGAAATAATTAATGATGATAATAGAAATTCTAGAAGAATATAAAATACAAGAATATTCAATTATAGTTAATTTATTATTGTGCCTCACGGAATAGAATACAAGAATATTTAATTATGGTTATATTATTATTGAGCTTCACGGCCATTATATACTAACAGAATTTGACAATAAAATAATAATAATAATATAAATGTTAATAATCTATACTTCTATACTATATATAAAAACAAAATCCTAAAGTTTTAATTTCCCGCCCAATTCCTAAAATTTCTATTCTAATATTGTAAAATAATACAATACAATTCCTAATAAAATAGTCTAATACAATTCCTAATAAAATATATTGGTTTCTACTTTCCTATTCGTATTATAATTCTATATTAAAATTGGTATTCTAATATTATAAAATAATACAATACAATTCTTAATAAAATTCCTATTTGTAATACGAGACCCTAATTATCGGAACAATAGGACAATATATTCATTCCGAACGCTTTCCTATTCGTACTATAATTCTACATTAAAATTCCTATTTGTAATACAATAGGACAATATATTCATTCCGAACGCACAAAAGATTTAGATTTCAAATATATTATTTTCTACTTTAAAATTCCTACAATCCTATTCGTATTATAATTCTACATTCAAATCCCTATTCGTAATACAATAGGAGAATACAAATAAAGCTGACGCTATAAATACTATAAATCTTATAATCTGCCCACACAATTCAACACCTCCATATAATACTTTCGATTATGCGAAGGAATTTTCATTCGATTCTTCAAATAGTAAATACTAATGGAATCTATTTTTGTCTCTGCTTCCAGCCTATCCCCAAAGACAAGAAAAAGTTGTATAAGACTCCACTTGATGCGCTGTTATTTGTCAAGGGAATATCCACGTTCCACAGTCAACCAACAAAACGTGGAATGCTTATTCCATGATTCCCAGGTGAATATAATTACTATAGTTCAACGGTTTATAGTACATGTTTATTTCTGGTGGAGTTGATAATCTTATAATCTTATTAATTTTTTGCATGCTTTACGTTTTTTTAATAAAACGCAATAATTCTTTATTTTTATTATTATTAGTTTATGAGTTAGTATGAATATAATATTGAATTGATTGATGTGGATTCTATGGAAGCACATTATTGCATTTTTTTGTCTGGTTTGTGGCACCCCCAATTCGGATTATTGTGGGGCAAACTAATGGCGTGAAATCCTTCGATTCGTTCGAATTAGTAGGAATACAAACACCCCCAGGTTTCTTTCTCCCGCCCATGTTTGGGAAATTTTTAGTGAATATTAAAAATTAAATAAAATATAAAATATAAAATATATACTAAAAACATAACATCAATATTGTTTACATTATAATCATATTGTTTACTATGTTTGGTGGCTTAGTTTTAAAATTCACGTTACATATACGAATGACATGATCTTCCTCAGGGAACTTGCATTCATTTACAAATTCCGAAAGAGTTTGTTTTAAAATTCAACAAGCTCTTAAAGGAAGGGGAAGTGTATGATATTCACAATTTCGTTGTGCAAACGTGTTGCATGAAGTTTAAGTCGTGTGAGCATAAGTACATGATGAAAGCGAACAACGACACTTTGATCAGCGTCACAGATCTAGATGAATATGGTTTTCCCAAACACATGTTCAAATTTAAAGATTTTGGATCGTTGAAAGCTCCTGGAGGAGTGGATTGCAATCAGCTAATTGGTAAGTTATTCTTTAAATTTTGTTCTATACTAGATGTGTTCTCATTTGTTTTTGTTATACTAAATTTCTAATAGTATATTCATGAATGACAATTTAAAATCTTTTGTTTGGTTTTCGCAGATTTGATTGGCCGTGTAGTTTCCATTACTGAGCCAAAAACTATCCAAGTTAATTCAAAACCCCAAAGGTTGATTGATTTTGTCATTGAAGATTCTCGGTATGTATTTGTTTAGATGACCTTTTTAATTTGTTTAAGTATAAATTTAGTCGTCATCATGTTCATTGTTGTTCACTCAGGGGGAGTCGGCTCACGATTACTCTGTGGGAGGAGCACGTGGATTCTGTCTTACCTTACTATAATGCTGATTTGACAGATCCACTGATTGTTATACTACAACTGTGTAGAGCCAGGTTGAATGATGGTAAGTAATTATCCAGTGGCAGGCATAAATTTATTTGATTCGATTTTAACTATATTTAAAATTGTTTATCATACTAGACGGTGAGGTTAGAATATCCAGTTCCTACACTGCAACAAAGATTCTGTTCAACCATGAGTGCCCTGAGTTGCTCAATTTCAAGGAGAGGTATTGTGTCGGTTTAAAATTTACCACTTCGTATAATATTGTATTTCAAACAATTTGATGATTTCGGATAATCCGTTTAAATCAGTATGCCTAGGTTCTTTACTCCAATAGGAAGTATAAGCTCAAGTTCAAGAATGATTGGATCTGGATCGTTGGAAGCTTTGTCGAGTGAAAATGTCACAATTACTTCTTTGAAGGATATTTATGATGACAAGAAGGTAAAAATTATTGATTTAGAGTTTGTATTGAAACCATTTGAAAAGGCACTCATTATATTTCTCAAGTATTGTGTAATTGATTTTTAGGTCGGTGAATTTTGGGTACTTGGAGAAATTCTAGGCATAGAAAGCGAATGGTACTTCAAGGACTGTAAGAGTAAGGGGTGTGGGAAGAAGCTTCAAGACTACACATACAGAATGTATTGTAAAGCTTGCGATAAACACTGGCCAGACGGAATAATTAAGTACAAAGTGGTGATTGATGTCCTAGATGATGACAATGATGGCCATCTTCAAATATATCAATACTCGGTTGGTGAATGGTGCAAACGATTGTTCTTCCTGTTAACCACGTTCTTGTGAAGAAAAATCAGTCAAGCTGGCCATAGGTGTCAGGGAGTCTATCATAAAACATAAATATGTTGTAAGATCATGTACACCAAATACAAGTAAATGAATGGTCCATATAATAGAGGAGAGAGAAAATGTTACAAGAGGTATAGAGAAGAAATCTAAAGATAACCACTAAGTACCTTTATGCAAAGCAGACGTCAGACCACTAGCCCAACGATCAGTTAGACCAGTCTTCTCTGGTGAAATATTTCCTATATAAGAAGCACTAGAATTTACAGCTGCAAGATCTTTTGGAAAGATCTCATTGAACCTTGTTACGGTTTTGTGCAAACCATCATAATCAGAATTACTGGTAACTCTACCGCTATTTGAAAAAGGAGGCAGCAAAGTGTTGTCTGCAGAATGATCAGAAGCAATCTCAAAGGCAAAACTTCCCACATCTCTATCATTTTCACCCTTTTTTGGGAATGATTACTATCATTTTCTGGCATTGAAAGCTTTTCAATATCATTGCCATAATGGACCTCTGAGGTGGAAAACTCAACATCAAAATTATTTGCAGCAAATGTTGAACCAGCACTTGCATAATTTGAAGAACCAAAGTTGGTCTTCCGCACTATATCATTTTCCTGGAAATCACATTTTTTATCTACTCCAGAAAGCTTTGAAGCAGGTGTGGCTATAGCATTGGATGTGTCAGCCCCATCAGAATCTGGTCGTATAGGTTCAGTATCTAGAGTTTATCTCTCTGAACCCCCATCAAATTCATGGATTTGATTAGTTGATGTTGCCTTTTTAGCCCGATCTGCTGCTCTCTTCTTACAAAACTCCTCTAGCTGTAATGACAACAACAATGCATTAACATAATGATATGAATGATATGAACAATATCACGCAATAGAGTATGGTTCACAACTTAAGAAAAGAATTACAAGAGGATGCAGATAATAATAGAGAGCAGGGAATCCAGTGAAGTCTAACCAAGAAAGGATAACAGAAATTTAAGTGCAAATACAATTGTCCAAAAAGAAATGTGAAAACTTAAAGCAAGTGCATCATTTATCAAATGTAAGAAGTTCTTCAAATCAACATATTCAAAATTGGCGAGCAGAGATTCAGAAACTACCACATAGAAGTCTCATCAAACAACATTAAACTTATAATTATAATAATAGGCAATCTGTAAACTTGTACGAATTCTCACTTCAGAGGAAAGACTTAGAAAATGATCCACATCTAGGAATGAGATGGCTGAGCCAAGCTCCACAGCAATTGTGAGCCACTTCTGTTGCTCTGTTGAAAGACCACTGATACCAGGCATGCCAACCAACATGTCCTTTATTCCGTCAAGTTCAATTGTCTCGATGACTTCCTCCACAAATTCCTACAGAGTCAACGACAATCGTGTTGGAGTTATATATGTAAAATGGTTCAGAAGAGAATAGAACAATCCATATGTAGCATAGAAATGGGCAACGATACAGATTTGGTTTTGGAATCAATCTCTGGAGGAAGCCGTAGCCAAGCAGAAAAGATAACATATTCTTCTATTGTAATATGAGGAGAATGTATATCGTTCTGCTCACAGTAACCAGAAACTCGAGCAAATGTCTCTTGAAGTTTAGGAGCAAATGCCTGTACACAATAAGAAAACAAACAAAATAACCATTAAAGCATTATTTAGCCATCAAACTACATGCACAAATATAATTATTCTCCGTGGCTTATTTTTGGTTCCAGAGGGAAAAGAAAACAAACAAAACAACCATGGAATTTATTTAGTCATCAAACTTGTGGGCCCTAGATGCAGTCAGCCAGTCTGAAACCAACCACCATCAAAAGGCATGATAACATTTTTTTTCCAAATTAAATAAAAACATTATTTGTCACTATTCCAATTAATCAATATTATTCATATTTTATTCGTACTACAATTATACATTAAAAATTTTATTCCTAATAGGATAGGACAATATTAAAAATCCTATTACTTAACTATAAATTAACTATGATCTTTCTATTTTCTTGTGAGCATCAGTTTTTCACAATTCACACAAACAACATAATGAGGAAACTCACAGAATCAACAATTGTAAGGGGCAGGAAGAAGCAAAAGACCACGGATCAAGGTTAGAGCCAAAATTAAATCTCATTATATACTGTTTCACTCATTATTTTCTTTATTATCTGTTTACTTTAGAACTCCGAACTTGGTTTTCTCATACTGAGAAATCCAGTTTCGAATTTCTCAGTTTGAGAAATCAGACTTGTGTTTCTCAAATTGAGAAACAGGATTCAATTATATGATAACCCGTGCATGCATTCTCAAATTGGGGACAAACGACTACAAAATTAAAGGGTTTAGACGAATTCGGAATGGAATACGTTAAAAAAAAAGATGAAAAATGAATGGATTAATGTCACCAAATAGTTAAAAGAGGCTGAAAAACTTACTGTGAGAAAGAGAATTTGCACCCTGGTTGGTTCTTTGTCCGTTCATCAGGTCTGGTGGGCGGTAGCGGTGGCGGTGGCCGGTGTGCCGTGACGGTGGTCGGTGTGCGAGAGTGAGGAACTCGGCAAGGCTGTTGCCTAAAATCCCAGTGACGCCAATTAGAGCCATTCTAATCGGCGTGAGATAGTCTTAGGTGTAATTTTAATTAAATAATGAAAAATGAGTGTTTTTTAGTCTTAGGTGATCGTTTTTGTTTGTTTGTTTTTTTTTTTATTTAGAAAATGAGGCGGTAATACAAACAACTGTTGGTTCTTCAACATTTAATCCAGTTCATCCGAGATTTAATGGTGAGCAAATTTATTTTTCTAATAGTCTACGCGTTTATTTTCTTCTGTATAAAATGCAATCATAAATTTTTCTTCCTGAATATAAATAATTGCAGTAGCTGGTAATGAAGCATTGTTTGGTGGATTTACGGTTTGCTCTCCATCAACACCTATTAATATACTCAACCAAGGTACTACTAATATAATATAACATAATAGGTTAAATTATATGAAAATTTTGATTTATTTGTTCGGTTAAATTGTTGCAGTTAATGTTCGTCAAAGTCCATTCAAAGAGAATAATGTGGAAACTGGAGCGACATCATTAAATACAATCACAAACGGTATATGTTATATTCAAATTATTCTATTTCTCATATCGACTAAAGCAATATTTTAATCTTATTTTATATATTCAATAATTTTAAATACTTTTACGTATTAATATTATTTTGTCTTTATTTGATGCCATTATTTGTTTTGCAAAAAATTGCAGTTGCTAGCAACCCAAGTTTATATGATTGAACAGTACAATTGGACCCTTCACACCTTCCACTGTCGTCACAAATTGTAAGAATTTTCTTTATTTGTTCATTATTTATTTCTTCATTTGTTGTATATGATAAGTGTGTTGTTATATATGCTTGAATAAAAACAAATTCTATACCATTAATGTGATGTTATATATGTTTGAATAAAACAAATTGTAGTTAATATGTGTACCATGTTTTCACCGTCCAATGAACGTTCATTGAATATGCTAAATATGCCAACTTCAGCGTCTCTATCACGCCATCCATTAGCTGATGTTACGAACGGTACTTTATACTTCACTGTTCATGCATTTTTCCTTTTGTTATTCCCACTGTGTGTTTACAATTTTTTCAATTACTTAAAATTACTTTTAACAATTCATTGTATTTAAACATGGATTTCGAACAGGTTGAGACTCAAAATAATGGATATGGTCAGTTTTCTTTGCTCTAAATACAAACGTTTGTTCTGTTCATTTTTTCACAATATAAATAATGTTTGTTAATTATAAGCCGTTTACGTTACCAGATCATTATTTTGACCTTGGAGATGCGGCTCATTCGTGTAATTATTGTGGGGCTTTATTTTGGTGGAAAGAGCACTCAAATCAAAATGTATCACGCACATTGCCAAAATACACAAAGTGTTGCTATGAGGGCAAAATCCAATTACCTCGCATGAAGGATCCTCCTCGTGTGCTCGAGAGCCTTTACTTTGATGATACTGAACGGAGTAGACACTTCCTCAACAATATTCGAAGGTATAACAACATGTTCTACTTCACGTCTCTGGGCGGTAGAGTCATAGGTCCCTCAACACCGGTAATGTTGCTTCAGTGTTTAAGATTAGTGGTCAAAATTATCACTTGATTGGAAGCTTGGTTCCAACAGAAGGGTCGATCCCAAAATTTGCGCAACTATATATTTACGACACAGATAATGAGATTAACAATCGCATCAATTTTGTCAGGTAAATAACAAATACATACTCTCTTATGTTTGCATTCCACCTAGATATTCAACTATTATTTATCCATTCCCATTATTTTTCCTATATAGAGAGGATAGTAACTCAAGGGATATCAATGAAGAGATTGTTGTCGAATTAAAGAATATGCTAGACCAAAATAATGTCTTGGTCAACTATTTCAAAATGGCAAGAACTGAGATCCAATCTAACCCAATTGTTGAGGTTAAGATGAACTTAATAGGCAAGCGGAGCAAAGATGGAAGGACTTACAATTTACCTACTACTCATGAGGTAGCTGCACTTATTGTCGGGGATCTAGACCCATTAATGGGTGATTTAGACATATTGATTGAGACCAGGACTGGGCAATTGAAGAGAATAAATCAATTGAACCCTGTATATCTGCCGTTACAGTACCCTTTGTTGTTCCCCTACGACGAAGATGGTTATCGCGAAGATATTATATTCTCTGATGCATGGCGCGAACATCATCCTGGTGGCAGGATAAGAATTAGCCCCAAAGAGTATTTCTCATTTTATATACATGAGAAAGTGAATGAGAAACATACATTGTTGTATTCTAGGAGGTTATTCCAACAATTCTTGGTTGATGCATATACAATGATAGAATCTGCACGCTTGGTATACATTAGAACTCATCAGAAGGCATTGCGATGTGAAGCTTATCAGGGGTTGAGTGATGCGTTGACAAGAGGAGAATTAGACCC